AAAAATGAAGAGAATTAAACGGAGTGAAGCGCAGGATATTATTTATAAAGTTTTTCAGTGATGTTTATTGGAACAAGAAGCTGGACACATTTTATCAAATTTGTAGGATGTTAAAGCTCGAACGGCAGTTATGACTGGTATGTAATCGTGTTACTGATTGAGTTTTGGTTACCAGAAGTTTCAAATTTACTAAATATATGAATTTAAGTCTAAAAGAAGTATTGTTTACATTATGCATTTATAGGTTAGATTGAAAATGTTAGAAGGCCATATTGTAGTGTGGCTCGAACTTTTAATACTTTGGGATAACCAAATTTATCATTGATTTTAATCTGAATAAAAAATATACCTGTTATGAATGTACGATTTTTACCTACGTACACCAATAAAAAGTTTGTGCTTTATATTACTAAAATTATAGCATTAATTTGATCATTGTGGCGATTCCATTCTTTTTGCCAAATACCTATAGGTATTATATTTTTAAAACTTACTTTCAGGAAAATCAGAGAATATAGTGATACGTATTGTAGATGAAGGCTATAAAAATGGTGGCATATTTGAAACCCCTGGGAAACATAGATAGTCGTCCTAAGAAATAAATGGTTAACTGCAACATTTGTGCACTTCGACAAAAGATTCAGTTCTTTTACTCTGTGAAAAAAAGAGGAAAACATCAGTGGATTGCCAAAACCGATCTGGATTTTAATTGTAGCCTAGAAGTCCTGCGTTAAATTCTGAAATAGATTGGGTTTTCTTACAAGGAGCGTCAAAGTAACAGGCTTTAATCGAACACAAGCACACATTGCAGTAAAACGAGAAAACAACTTGGCAATTATAAAAAAAAAAGATTTATCAAAAATTACGATTACTATATTGTAATCTTCAATGTAGAATAAACTCATTGTCTACGAATTATACGCCTTTCTTTACCTTTTCTGGGGTAATAAAAGTAAAAAAAAATATCCGGTTTATTTTACTATAAATAAAGAAAATCCTACTATCAAAATCATTTGTCTCACTACACAGGGTTGCTACGTGCACGATCGCAGCGCCCTCAATTTTTTTCATGACTTTATAGACAGACTGTATATGGTGGGCATATCGACTAAATATTTGGGTGATGTTTGGTGGAAAGTGTATTTCGTTTTTTTTTTTAATTTTGTCTGTTTGTCGGTTTGTCTGTGAGTTTTTACACGCTAATCACAGTAACGGCTGAACAGATTCAAATCCAGTTTATCTTGCGTTACCACTTAGTGTATGTTTTATTTCAATCGGTTCATAAATAAAAAAAATATGTCAATTTTAAGGATTGTATTTGGGAAAATTGCTATGAAATTAACTGCTTTATAAAATTTTTGTCTTAAATACATTGATTGTTATCATCAGTTCTATTATATCCCTATTGTAGGCCCTCGGGCCTTTATTTAATAAATTTTTGGTCACCCATCCCGTCAACAATCCTTGTGAGAATTTCTTTTTAATTTGGACCTGCTAAGGGATAACATATAAGAGTACCCAGTAAGCACAAACTACATTAAAGGATGTCACAGTTCGGTAACTTAAGCGTTTAAGAAATTTTTAATACAGTTGCTCAAAAAGTGGCGTATTGCAGGGACGTATAGCGTTCGGGATGTGGGCAATTACACACTCGTTCTTTTTTTTTACCTTACCCGCACTCGTGCGTTCTCTTTCCCAACTTTCAAAATAATGTCAATTAATAAGAAATACCAACCATAAAGTTTTTACTAAATGAAAAACAAAGAAGTTTTTATGATTCATGTAAATACGTAGCGTAAGTATATTTCTAAAAAAAAGCTACAAATTTATTTCGATGTCAAATTTAATGATTTGATTGAATTAGTGAGGTAAGGTTTCATTTCATTTTACCTATCTCATTAAATTTCATTTTCATTTCATATCAATAAAAAAAATCTACTGAAGACTTGGCTGTATGGGCATAGTTGCCTTTGCCTTCCAGGACGGGTGAAGAAAAAATGGCGCTATTTTCCAGAAATTTTCTTTGCGAGTTTAGTTGTTTGTTGCACAAAATGAGTAATTTCGACATTTTTGATCCTAATTTGTTTGAATTAACACCACCGGAACTCAGTACAATTGCAGAAATTATTATACCAGAAAAGTCAAAAAGTCGCTGCATATCTACATACGACGAATTTATTGCGTGGAGAGAAGAGAAAAAAGCAAATAGTTTTTCAGAAAATGTTATGTTGGCATACTTCTCCGAACTCTCAGCAAAATTAAAACTCATCACACGTTGAAGAGAACGTTCGTCCATCTACCGACGTTGATAATGATTATTCATCCCTCAAAGGTCGGCAGAGCGCTTGTAGCTCCTCCGGTGTTGCAGGTGTCCATGGGCGGCGGTAATCACTCACCATCAGGTGATCCGTCTGCTCGTCAGCCCCTATCCCATAAAAAAACAGTTCTAGTTCCATCAACTAGTAAACGCCATTGTATGACAAATATACATGAATAATCATACGAAATTAATAATAGTTTGTCTCAAACAGTAAATATGCAACCTAAAACTTCCCCAGTTAGTATAAAAAACTGTACCAATTTCAATGTATATGTGAATTAAAACTTTTATAACAAATAAATGATTAGTTAGTTGAGTTTATTTTGTTTTTATTATTTTATTAAATTGCTTAATTTTTTCGCAACTGCATTAAAAATAGTCGTTCAGTACACGTGCGGAACCGTCATTGCAACTCGTTCCGACTGTCAACCCTCGCCTTCGGCTGCGCCTAGGCTCGGATAGACATTTATCGGAACTCGTTGCAATGACAGCCTTTCCGAACTTGTAATGAATTATAGTATATTAGAGTACCTACACTTACCAAAACCTACGGTTTTGCCTGTATAAGAATGTAATAATGTAACGGTAACGGCGTCAGCTGCAATGGAGCATTTCTTTGGACTTAGTTAAAGCTATAGTCTGCATTGAAGGCCACAATCGTACCCCTGCAATACTTGCATTTTTAAGAAGAACAAGTTAATAACAATACAAATGCAATTATTGTGACTTCAATGAACAATACTATAAAGCTTATTGCTGTACCTTAGTACACAGCATAATTCTCAACAGCATTTATATAGCTTATATGGTAATCTAAAAGAAGAATAACTGGAATTTTTATTAAATTTAAATTTAAAATACTGAAATTTTATTTAAGTAGGTAAACAGCTTATTGTCAAGTTAAAAGAACAAATAAAAATATTTTTTATCATCACCTAACATAATAATTTACAAGTAAACAGAGATTTTGAAAGCGCGTGAAAATTTTCATATTTATTCATACAGTATTCTACAATAAACTTTATTTGCCATTCGAATTTTACACAAATGAAGGGCAAATCAAGATTTTATTTCCAATTTCATCACAAGTTGTCACAAATGGTTCACGAACAATATTAAAAATATGTAGGAGTATGTAATATTAATATTCGCAATAATGGAATACTAAATAATTCTCAACTCTATAACCGCATTAGAAAGATCCCGTGATGTGTACTTAGGTAAAACTTTAGTAATCGTGTATTGTGCTGCATAATTAGTAACAAATACTCTATAATAAACAACTCTTGGGAAGACGGTTACCCTTGCATGTGTGCGACCGGGGGCTCGTCCGGGCGGAGAGCACATCAAAAGTGCACAGATTGGACCGGTCTCGTAGTCGTCTGTCTCTTTCTTCTCGCCAGGCAAGGTGGAGGAGTGCGAGGGGACTGAGGGAGACGGTTGCGGGGTGAGAGGAACCTAGGAGGTGCCCTACTGAAGAGTGGGGAGGGGAGTTCCCTTCGCTCCGCGGCTGCGGCGCTGTCGGGGTCCTGGCATACACACATTTACATACATTATACACGTACACACATTTCATCTACTCTACCACACATAACACATACACATACAGTCTCACATCTACAGCTACACACACACTGGCATACATTCACTGTTACACACACTTTCATACATCATACACACACATCTACACGCCGTACTAGTCTAGAGTAGTATAGTGGGTACTTACCTGGGGACTTACCTGCTGTGCTTGCTTGATGACCGGTGCGGCGCCGGGACCTCGGTAGGGCCGTAGCCGCGGCGCGACGAGAGGGGATGCGACCCGTCGACTGGCTGGACGCCCCTGTCTGCCCTCCGGGGCTGATAAAGGGAGTGATGAGGCTGGTCTTCTGTGGCGCATCGACCTACGGGGGGGGGGGGAACCACGATAAGGGCTATGCCTGTGTGGATCCTCCCAACACTATGAGTAGGGGACCGGAGATTGCACAGTTGCGCATCTCTGGTCTCTAGTCAGGGGCAGCTGGCCGGTTCGCGCACCGGTCGGCATTGCACGCTCCTGCCTCGTCGTGGGGGTGCGTCTCGAATGTCTCTGAGGCGTACCCCCAACCCGAAGTGGGACCTGCCCTTTTCAGGGCGGGCCGAAATGGGGGCGAACCACGCGGTGTATGGCCCTCGGGCCGATCCCGCGCATCGCCTACCATGAGAGGGACATCGCTGAGTTTTAGTGGGTAAACTCCTGCTTCTTGTCTAGCCCCTACGGGGGTGGGGCCACAGGAGGAGTCCCACATCACCCGTGGAGCCCGCGCAGGGTGAAGCGGGTATGCGTAATGCATTTCTCAGCGTCAAAAAAAAAAAAAAAAGACGGTTACCCTTAATGATACTCCTGTAATACAATAGTGACAGTTAATCAGCTAAACGCTGTTTAATTTGTGTGTAAATCAGATTTTTATCAGCACTTACAGCGCCTCTAACTCTCATATACAGCATACTTGTACAGCTTAGGATAATAATGTGGACAATTATAGTGCTACTATACAGCGTTTTTGTGTTACTTGGGTAAATTATACGAGTGAATACGAGAAGTTTGAAGAACTGCCTCTTTTGATTCTTTAAAATCTCTGAGCCACTTCGGAATTGCTACACAAATAGCATAAAACTAGATAATATAAGGATGTGATATTTGCTCATTAAAAAATAGTCATCATTTAGAGAAAATATTTATTTTCGTTATATATAAAGTCGTTATAATAATTCAATTAACATCGATCTTTGCAAACTAACACTTAACATTTTTACTGGAATAGGCAGTCGACCAACCAAGGTGTGTTAATATAATAAGAGTGCATGGTGAGCAAGGCAGGTGAACCAGCCAGGTCGTACAAACACTGAGGGCCGTCTGGGACGATAACCTGTAGACAAGAAACAAGAATTTATTAGTTTATAATATACAAAAATAAGCCCAAATAATATACTTAAAAAATATTGCCCAAAAATACCCAACAACAACATTTAATTTATACTTAAACCCACCCACCATATTTTGAATAATGTTCAAACTTCAGGATCCTCTATAGAATACCTCTGTCACTGCACTGCTGTTCTACTCATCATCGAGCATTAGGTACAAATTATATTAATCTACCTTATGAAAAAAAAGACCTTAAATGAAACTACTTTTAAACGGTTTCACCCCTTATCCATTGTTTTTTTAATTAACTTTTCAGATAATTTACAGGTTCTGCGTTCACATAACACAAAGGTGTTAATTGTCTTTTTAATTAAGAGTATAGCTACCTCCATAAAAATATTATTGGCCACATTCACAATACAAACATTTTATATTTTATGGAAACGTTTACATTTATTAAATAAATTTATTTTAAAAATACATTTGGCTTATTAATTTATCCCAGGCTACCGTAAACTACCACCAGTTTCAAATTTGGGAGCCTTGTCTGAAAAGAACTAACGAAACTAACTCCGACAAGAAAATTGAATTGCTCCCTTGAATTTAATATTTACAGAATAAACTAACTGTATCATATGGTTTTGCAATGTGTGATCTGGTTTGAAATCAACACCTTAGTCATATGTTCACACGGAACCTGTAAAGGATCTAAACATCAATAAAAGAAAAAGTCGTTTCATTTAAAGATCCACTACTTTGAATTCTACGTACCTTGACGGCGGTCACAGGCGGTCTCTCGAAGTAATCCTTAACAAGATCCTTCTCGTCAAGTTTGCCGAAGATGACGGCACCCATACCAATGAGCTCGCCGGAGTGCACAAGTGGGAACCACGGCAAGAGGCTGGAGGCTGTGCACTCGGTCGTCGCTGTCATGTTGTAGTAATAATGACGACCTGCGGGATATTAATAATGAAAATTCTCCTCCATCAAAACTGATATGAGATACATAGATTGTCATCAAAAAGATCTAATTAGGTAGCAGTGATGATAGTCTTCAAACACTGGTAATTGTTGATAATACTGAAGTAAAAAGTTCGGTCGCCAACAAGATGGTCAGTCCAAATGAAAAGAGTTAAACGCCATCCGGGGTTTTTTTTAATTTGTAAGGACGTTTACGATCGGAATCGATCGAGAAAAATTGTTCTAATCACAAACCCTATAACTGTATGGGGAAATCAACTAGAGAGAGAGAGTCGCTTAAAATTGCACTAAGGTACATTGATTGCCTATTACCACTGAGATTTATGTAGTTTCTGATTAATTACTGTATATAGGCAAGTAACGGTTGCGTAGTGGATAAGCATCACAGCCCACGATCGCTTTTGATAAGCAACTTTTGCAACGGTCGGTCACGGAATGGGTGACCAATAATTATTATCTCGAGCTACTCTTTGATTTGGAAGGCACATTAAGCCGTTGGTCCTAGTGAACGGTTATGGCCATCCTCCTTAACCATCCATAAGGAAGGTTGAGCCCGTGCAATGGGGACGTAAAAGAGCTGATGATAATGATGATGTTGAGCCAAGTATCATACCCATCAATGGGATGCACGCCTGTTTGGTGAAACCGCTGACGGCTGTATTGGCGATTACGTTAGCATCACGAGAGATAGCCATCCGCTCCTTGTTGAAACCAGTCACCCATACGTCCTCAAATTGCAGTGTTGTATCTTTATTACGCGCCACAATACGATCATGTGCGCTCACTTCGAGGTGTGCTGTAAGGTAATAACAAATAAGAAACCATTAATTACCATTGGAAAATTTTCAACAATTTATTTTTAACATTTAAGAGAGACATTCTTGTCGGTGGAATCATTTCCATTGTTGCCTAGCGTCGTAGGAGTGTCCATGAATCTTGATTCATGTTTTTGGTACACTTTTGCTACTCACAATTCATAGATAGAAGAAATGATGTAAGTTTTAAGGACATAACTTTATTAAGTGTATGTGTCGAAGGTCATTTTAACGCCTCACCTCTAGGCAACGAAAGTCTATGATTAAAATTTTTCTGGACAGTCTTTTGATTGATGAAACATAAAAATATATACACTTAGTTACCTTCGCTAATGAAGTATTGCTGTATGGTCTGGTATGTTCTAGGAGTATCGAGAGCAGACACTGGTGGAGTCCATGTGGTGAAACCTTGTACCGCCCAGTCGAAAATGCCATCTTTGAACTTGGATTGGTCAAGCTGTAATAGTAAGGCAATTAATATATAAATTAACGTTAGCGGACTATCACGTAGCAGTTAAATTGGGTAATTTTTTTTAGCTACTCTTGTCGTCAGAGGAAATATAAACCCTAACGTGAAACAATACTTACAGCAATCTGAAGGCCTGCTACGTATGCGGTATCATCGTATAGAGCACACAGAGTACGGTCACGTGTAGAGGGGCAGTATAGCACAAGCTCAGGCATCGGTCCCTCGGGGCGAGGAGTCAGCACCCAGCGGGAATTCTTAGCCTCAGCTACCGTACGAGGTACGCTTATGAAGTAATTGGAACCGATGCCCAATGGGTTCGGCCCAAACCTCACTGAAAATGTGAACAATGAGAACTTTAGGATTGTTATAGCTGCGCTCTGTACATCTTTCTTTTTTACTTGCTTATAATAAGGACATAATTCTGAGCTATATTTATTTCAAAGACCATGTATCACTTTCTTTGGATCTAAATAAAATGATATGCTCACCTTTTAAACCTCCCTTCCATGCTCCTGTAAAAAAAGAAAATAATTTATTATTAAAAGAGATATTTTCGTTCGTTGGAGAGGATATAAATTCGTAAGATATTTCTTGAAAGTTGCGACTGGTACCTATTCTACAAGTACTTTCATATGTTAGTTGATCATGTATCTATAGCTATGTTTTTCTTTCATATTGCTGAAAATTGGTCGCACATTTTAATTCTATTCTATGATATGATAATCAAAATTGATCAATTGTGATGTAGGGAACACAAAAGTAGGGTTTCCAATAACCAGGCAAGTGCGAGACACACATAAAGTATCGAGGGTATCATGCAAATGTAAAATTTTAAGAACTGTAGATTTTTTGTAGCTTTTCATGATCTTACACGAGTCGGTATAAAGTAATTGAGAACATATAATTGAATGCCCTTGTCATCATTTGATTACGTCCTAAGTATAACATCATCTAAAATCATCAAAGAAAACAGCTACATACGCGCGTACGCCGAGCGACAAGATTTGTTAGACCCGCCATTCGCGCATTTAGTCGCTAACTAACTTAGGCCCGTAGTGTGGCCATAATGCCGTAGATAGAAACGTTTGAAAAATACGCACACCCCTTAATAAAGCGGGACTTTAGTACCGTCGCGCTAAAGTCCCGCTTTATTCACTACATTATGACCGCGATAGCGCGCTTCATTTGTTTGATACTTCGCGCTCACCGTCGCATCCGCACTAGGCTTGCAATGTGGACGCACACATACAACGACGATATAGACTATAATTTACGCGGCCGATGTTGCGGGAAACAACTAGTATAATATAAATACTTACCTAAACCGTGAGCAACGGCAAAGACCGCAATAAGAACTAACAGTTGCTTCATGTTGTCTAATACCTATCACCAGTAACTAATGAGGAAGACTGTACACAGGGTCTACTTTATATAGTAACGGCGATACTGTACGATTAGTAATTAATTACCAATATCGATGGTGTGATAATTTTTAATCTAACTTATTTCTAATCTTCATGATATGACAAGGTTCAGTGCAAATCTGTAAGCAGTAATCAACAACACGTGTATATGTCGCAGTCAACTAGTGAAAATGGCTGTTTAGTTGTACAGCTAATTATTTGATTTAATTTTTGACGACCTTCGTAGCCGAGTGGTTCGCACGCCGGTTTCAAGGTGTCGCCATCTCTGAGGTCCCGGGTTCGATTCCCGGTCGGGTCAATGTAGAAAATGAGCTTTTCTATATTGTCTCGGGTCTGGGTGTTGTGGTACCTTCGTTGTCTCAGATACTCCATAATACGGGGGCTTTAACTACTCATCTTGGAATCTGAGCAATGTATGTGATGTTATTAAATATTTATTTATTTATTATTAATTAACATCATTACGATTATATGTGTGTCTAGTTTTATAGTACTTAGATAGAATCATTATTACGTTTAATGTGTTCAATATACCTAATGACGGTCTGCAAACATGCTATATCTTTATTAGCACGTTTTAAATAAGAACTTGATATTATTCATTATACCTAATTATTGAATTGACTAGTTATAGTGTTGAATGTGGCGTTCAATGAGTTGGCTAATCGATGTATAGTTGAATGGCGCCGTTCAATCTAGAAATAATACCAATGCCCATTTTTCAAATCCACGGATGCGTATCTTAATGCATTTTTTAAATTCTGTAAATTGCAATATGAAATAATATTTTAAAATTATTAATACATAATAAAGATGATGACTAATTTTTGTTTATTTGTCCATCAGGTTTATTAACATTCGTTCGTGTTTAATAGTCTTATTCAATAATATGATATTGAAGAATATTAAAAGACTATTTTAGTATTTTTATACATAATCAATAAATTATAAGTGATTGATATACAAATAGTTATTAAAATATTACTATTCGCCATTAATCCAATAGATTAGCGTATCAAATTTATGAAAAAAAAATTCATGATTTCATGAATTGGAAAATATTTTTACACTGATGATTTTTAATTTGAGTTAATTTGACTTTAGTTAAAAAGATAAAAACAGCATGGCTAAATTACGCGTTGGATCTTCTTTTCTAAATTTTTGACACTTACTGATCAATATGAACCAAATCGCTGGCTGACTGTCGTTACTTCTACTGTATCTGCATCTGCAAGAACATTCGGATTCGGATGCGAAACGTCCGCAATATTCCTGATTCAATCAAAGGGTCATCCGGCCATATAGTGAAATGACTATTTTAACCAGTTAGCTATGACTATCTTAATGTGGAAGATACTACGTGGATACTACAGTAAGATGATACTGATACTTAATTATGATAAGATAAATTAAATATTTAATAAATTACTAAACTACAATAATTATATTGATAGACAAATGGTCAAAATAATAAAGATTCAGCAGAATTCGTAAAAACACTCAATGCAAGAAATAGTAATATGTGTTGAATTTCCTTACAGTACAGACAGATTAGTCTATATTATATTAAGACTCAACAATCTTACCCCCTAAACCATAAACCTTGTAAAACTGTATTTTTATACGACCTCAAAAAAGGAGGAGGTTCTCAATTCGACTGTATGTTTTTGTTACGCAATCACTCCGCTAATTATGAATCGCTTTAGAAAAATTCTTTTTTTATTCGACAACTTAATGGGCTGAGATGATCCCATTTAAATTTTATCGAAATCTATCTTTTTAAAACAAAGCAAAATATGTTTTTCATCAGATATCACGTCATTTTTATGTTATGTTTATACATCGACTTAGTACTTTAAAATAAGAATTATAACTCCGAAAAATTTCGGCAGGCTTCCTTGAATCATTTTATACCATCGACCTTTTTCTTCACTAATAAGATTCCAATATTCTTTCCAGAGCAATGTGAGATGCTGGTTTGTTTTGGAATTGAAGTGAATGGCTCTTTCATACAAGAGGAGTGGCCTTTATCAGGAGTGTTTCTTGTTACTTCAGCAACTTTTTCATTCCCAGAGATGCCACTATAAGACTGTACCCATACGAAATGTAATCTCTTTCCTATATTACTTAAGTTTTATAAGAGTTGTTTTATATAATGAACTAAATAATTTACGGTTATTTTTAATAAATGAATTTAATGCACTTTGGGAATCTGACAAAATCAAAAATTCATTGCCATTTATGTAACATATGTACAATGAGGCCTAATAAATGGTAAAACATTCAGCAGTGTATACAGAACAGTCTTTGGGAATCTTAATGCATCTTCTTACACTTCGTTGTACATCATAGAAAGCTGGTTACTTTATTATCAGACTTTGACCCATTACAAATACTTATAGTACCGGGTATTATACGCGTTTTTTAAACTGACCTGCGCCGACGTTTCGGCTGGGTTGCACCGGCCGTGGTCACGACGAGACTGAAACAGCAAGTTTACGCCTCTTCATCCGAGGATGAATCATCTTCCACCCTCAGATTTTGTATCCGATTACCGTCACAAACAACACTAACGGTGTCCCTTTTCCGCACTTGAGCCGTATTCTGGAGATTTACCGATTGCGAAAAAAGAGGTTGTGTTTTAGCAAATACTGGATTCCACGCTTATGACAATTCATATCCGCCTTCCCTGTGTCTCTCTTCTAACAATGCTTATGTACAGCATAGGTAAAATTTGGGGGTCAGATCCCTAATGTACCCCTTCCAAGGACTGGAGGACATATAAAGCATTTATAGCTAAATTGTCAATGTACTTGTGAAAGTTTAATTTAGAGTCCAGAAGTACACCCAGATACTTGTTATTTTGAAACCATGGCAAAGAATTGTTATTATAATATATATTACTGTTAATTATGAGCTTTAAAACTTTTTTGAGAATATCATAGCAGAATTTTTGGAACCACTTATTTCTAATTTGAACCTATCATTTAAAAAATTATGAATTTGAAACATTGCTCTATTCAGTTTCTTAATGCAATATTTACATAAAGTATATACTAGGAGATCATCTGCAAATTGTAGAAAATGTACATCTTTTTCTTTTAATAATTGTTATATGTGACAGGTATATATAGAGGATATGGTTGCTCCTTGCATTGTTCCCTTATAAACTTCTCGTGGTTCGTGAAGTATATTGTTATATTTTAAACTAGCATTCGCCAGCGGCTTCGCCCGCGTGGTACCTAGGGAAATGTTAAGTGGGATAAAAAGTATCCTATTATCTAAGTCAGCTAATACCCTATCTGTATACCAAATTTCATCAAAATCCGTTCAGTAGTTTCGGCGTGATTTAACTTTTTTAATTAGGGATGACTGAGAGTGTTATTAACGTGAGAGTAGACAATAGACAAATACAATCAGAAAGCTTCGAACTGCTAAGCTATCGGGAGTTACACGTGTTACTCACAAAGTCAACCATAAAAGATAGACATATGCTGTCGTGGGATATTTTTTATATAATTTTAAGGAGAACATTTCCGTCATACATGATTTCTGGATAGCTTTAACCATTAAGGTTGCACACGCGACGGAAGCTTAAAAAATGGAGTAACTTCTCCCGTTTTCCCAATATTTCCCTTCACTGCTCTGCTCCTATTGATTGTAGCGTGATGAAAAGTATACTATAATTAGCTCAGGAGTATGAAAATTAATTGTACCAAGTTTCGTTAAAATCCGTCGAGTAGTTTTTGTTTCTATAACGGTTATACAGACAGACAGACAAAAATTTGACTGATTGCATTTTTGGCATCAGTATCGATCCCTAATAACCCCCTGATAGTTATTTTGGAAATATATTTCATGTACAGAATTGACCTCTCTACAGATTTATTATAAGTATAGATACATAATCCTTTCATAGATAAAATTAAATATCCATTTATTTACTTTTCCAGGAATACCTATTTCAAATCGAACTTTAGCACAAAGGGATCCACATTATCAAATGCCCCTTTAATATCTATGAATGCCCATACTGTTGCAGAATAACCAAGAAAAAATGATTTTATGCCATCCATTAATGTTGTGAAGCTCTCTGTTGCACTACGACCTTTCCGGAAGCCAAATTGTTCTACAGGTAATATATTGTTACTCTATATAATAATCTAATCTTAATTTTAATATATTTTCAACACTTTACTAAATAGGAGAACGAAGATATAGGTCTTTATGAATCACTGCAAGGATATAGGTCTGTATCACTGTCATCCGTGGGTTTATTGGATTTCCATATTGAAATCACACATTGTGTTTTCCATATAGATAGTATCATTTATGATACCCAAAGACTTTTATAAATGTCGAGTAATTTTGTTTGTCTAATTTTTAATGAGAATATAAATTATATCGTCAAGGCTAAACTAGTGTCTTCCCTAGATTTTAAAGAAATTTCAAGTTCTTGAAATTTAAATGGTTCAGTAAGAAAATAAGCGTTTGAATGTCCATTAAAATTTAAAGCTAATGTTGCATATTTTTCTAAGAAGTCAGAAATCCATACATCCATTAGCTGTTTCGGTACCTATTGTAAACCTTCTTATGTAATTCCATATGTTACTAATTGGAGTATACCTATTAAAACTTTGTCATAATTTCGCCTAACTAATTTTTAGAAGCTATTTTTTGTCTGTCAAAATTTAATGCTTCTTTACTTTTTTAACTACATCCTTACACTGATCAGCTTGTTAAACGCCCAAATGCTACATGGTGAGCATTAGTCACCAGATATCATAATTGGTTTAGGTAGATTATTTTTGACTTTTTTAAGTTTATTATCTTGGAAGCTTGATCGAATTTTGTTTCGATTATTTTTTAAACGGTTTTATTTAGCTTACCCCATTTGTTTCGTTCGTGGTAGGTGAAATTTAGTAATTGAAAACCTCTTTCCGTCAA